ACAGCTTTGGGACTATAAGAGAGAAGCATGCTGTCCCCAGTGACGTGGGAGCACTGTCCCCAGCCGCTGTGGGAGCACTGTTCCGGGTGCCTCGGGAACACTGTGGGGCTGATGGCAGTAACTGAGCTCTTTAGCTTGGCTGTGGCCTCAGCCTGTCCTGTCCCAAGGAGTGGGACACACAAAACACAGGGTGTTCTTCGGGCGTAAGGGACCCGGTGTGCCTGTGTCTTCAGAGAGCTCCTCGCTGGCTGGCCTCACGACCATTCTTGGAGCCATCTGGCTTACGCTGGGTTGCTGAGTCCTCTGAGATTTCAGCAGAGTAGTCTGCGGCCTGTCTTTAGTCTGCTCTCCCATCTCAGATCTATGTACACCTGCACGCCGGAAGAGGGCACCCAATCTCATTACGGATGGTTGTGAGCCATCATGTGGTTGCTGGAATTGAACTCAGGACCTCTGGAAGAGCAGCCAGTGCTCTTAACCTCTGAGCCGTCTCTCCAGCCCTCCCAATCCTATTTCTTTCCAGCAATGTGCTCAGTCTTTCTTTCTTTTTTTTTCTCTCCTCCTTCATCTCTTCATCTACCTCCTTCTTCTGTTTCAAAAGAACATTAAAAAATTTAACGATTATGTGTTTGTGTATGTGGAGATGTGCATGTGAGGGCAATTGCTCAGAGCAGTCGGCAGGGAAAGATGGGTGGGTATGGGCAAGTCAATGCAGTTGCCCACGGAGGCCAGAAGAGGGCGCTGAATTTGCTGGACCTGCAGTAACAGGCAGCTGTGAGCTACTTGATGTGGGTTCTGAGAACAGGCTGCTTTCAGGAACCAGGTCTTAGAGCGGATGCTATGAGTAGAAGGTTCTAGAACCCAAGTAGAGCTGGGTAGAGACCAGGGTACAGGAAGGGAGTCAGTGGCCTGGATCCCTGCTTCCTGCTCAGGGTGCTGGGGCCTTGGACTTGATTCAGAGACAGCTTCCATCAGCTGTGGGGGCTCTTGGGGGTGCCTCCACCTGTTTTCTCTGTCTTCAGAAAGGGTAGACGTGTGCTCATGGCTTCCCTGTCTACTTCTGGAGCCCTTTCTCCTTTAGCCTCTGTCCATAGGATTGTTTCCTTGTTGGGTCTCCCCTCATGGGATGAGGCAAGCTGGGCTTTGCCCCACTGATTGCCTGAAGCTCTCTCCTTGGGGCCTCTTCTTGGCCTCTGTGGACCCTGCAAAGCAGGTCTTTATTCCTGTCCATCTTTGTGGAGGCTCCTTGGGCCGGCTTGTTTAACCCGGTGCTCCTGGGGCCTAAAATGACACTGTCCTGACTCAGGCTGAGTCGGTGAGCTGACCCTGGCCTGGTTCTGTTCTCAGGGCAGACTGCAGCTGGCCACAGCCTCCCAGCCTGTGTTAACAGCTGTCTCCACACTCTCTGCAGATGCTGAGGCGCTTATCTCAGAACTTTCTGGAAAGGATAAGGCTGGGGTCTTTGTGTGGGAGGTATGGCATTAGGGTGGAGTCAGGGTGACCTTGTCCCTTGGCTTTGCTTTCTCCATGAACTTCAAGCCTTCTCTGAACACACTTGCCCCTTGCTGGAAGGCTAGAAGTCAAAACAGGTCTGAAGATCAAATCTGAGCGAATCAAAGCTTGGCTTCTCTTGGTTTTATAAACAAACTCATAAACATTCCTTACCCTCCAAAAGGGCACCGCTGCCAGCTGGGCCCAGACTTTCCGACTCACGTCTGAATTGCCCAGCTGCCAATTTTCCAGTTGCAAGAGGGGAAAGCTTCATAAACTGCTTGCTTCCACCTGACCTGTGGAGGAGGGTGAAGCCATGGCAAGTCGGAAGTTATGAACACAACACGTTTATAAAATTCCAACTACAGAGGCCTCGCCAATGGGCCTAGCCAGGCTTCAAGTGGCAAAATTGACAGTCTTGTGTGGGTGGATGGGTGGATGGGAGCAGGTCACACGGGGGAACAGGCTGAGCTGGGATGACAGGAGAGACCTGGGGACACACAGAGGCTCCGGGAGGACAGAGTTCCATCACATAGCAGAGCCCCAGGCGGGCTAAAATCACAGGGCCAACCTGTGTGGTGACGGCGCCTGGTGACGCCGCACTGGAGAAGCAGAGGCAGGAGGATTAAGAACCGGGACTACATAGCAAGAGTCCTTACCATAGATAGATAGATAGATAGATAGATAGATAGATAGATAGATAGATAGATAGTAGATA